AGGATAATGTTTTCATACAAAAAATATAATTCCATTAAAATAAGCTGCGCAAACATGCAATTAAAAAGAAATAATATAAAGAAATCGTAATATATATTTAATTTTTCATCTAAATTAAATATCTTAACTGCATGAAATAAAAACTTCCTGCAACATTATTGCCAGAGTAAAAAAAAACTTCAAGGGAAACAGAAAAGTTTTTAAAGTAGACGAATACCGCAAATTATATGTAATAAATTAAAATTGTATTTTTATTTAAAAAACAATATTCATATCAGAACATTACTACAAAATGTAAAACTTGTTTATTATTCCAAGTAATTTATTCACCTTTCATTACTGTGAAGATTTAAATTCCAATAAGAAAATAATATTTTAAAAATAAATACTCCCATGTATATTCCGCTCACGCCAATTAAATAGTTTAAAAATGCGACAACACTCTTTCCTATATACAACGAATAGTTAAGTAATAGTTTTAATATAGAATAACGATAGTATTAGGTATGAATTGAGTTTTACTTATCGGAACTTATTACTTAAATATTTAATTTAAATACAAACTATACATTAATTTTCTTGGTGAAAAAATAACAGTAAAAACAATTTTACCATTACCGTTTGGATTTATTGCCTCCTCATAACTAGGTGGTTCCATTCCATCGAGACTGGTAAAATTATTGCCTACCACCGGTATATTGTGATAGGATGGGGGTGGTGTGTTAATTTGCGGTACCCCAGTCATAGGAATGACTGCAGTAGCATTTAACTCATTTATAAACAATTGATCACTAACATATACAATTACCGTCTAAATTATAAACAAATAATAACATGCAAATGTTACGATTAAATGTAAAACAAAAACAGCTTTGTAATACTATCGGAATATTCGATCATGCGCTTTCACCGACCATCAGTGATAAACTAAACCTTATCTATGAACAAGAACTAACAACTAAACTACTGGCATGACTGCAACATTACTGATTACTGAGTTCCTTAATTGATTGAAAATGAAATCATTGAATTGAAAATGGTATCGATCTGGACGGTTCAGTGCAAAACCAAGAAATTTATTAAAAGATTTTCAAACTATGTATTCACTTTTTAACAAAATTGAAAAGCATTCCCGTTTTTAATATCATCATTTTTTTTCAGCCAAAACGTTATTATAACAAGTATGTATGTACAAAACAAATCTTTACACTTTAAGATGGCAAATCTTTCTTATCCGAGCAAATAATTTCAAAAGTATTTTATTTCTTAGTTTATAAGGAGTTTTCAGTTGACAACTTAATTATATGTACCCACAAATAAAAAACTAGTTTAATGTCAAGTATAAAAGAAAAAAAAACAGAAGTTTTCATTTGAAAAAGTCATTTTAAATAAATGCTTTAATGATATGTATATCGGCACCCTAGCCACAAAGCCTAATGCCATCTATTATTATATAGTTTGATTAATAAATCGCTTTACTTTATAATTTATACAACTTTCAACAAATCTGTATTGTTTTCTAAGGTTTGTTTACTTTCATATTTTGAAAAATAAATGATATAGTACAGCTGTGGTTATGTTTACATTTATGAATTTAATTTTCAATCTGAAATATTTGTAGACTAAAAGTTTGTATAGATATAAGTTATGCAGTAAAAAAATGAATTTAGAAAAGGAATGTGAAGTAGCTTTGAATTCTTTAAAGAAAGCACAAGAGCAAGTTAAAAATGGAAATTTTGGTAGGGCTTTTGCTCATTACCTAGTAGTTTTCGAACTTTATCCAGCAAAAAAGTTTGAACATGAAAGTGAATTCATTTATGCCCTTANCTTCAACTAAAAGAATTAAGCCATGCTCCTATATGCAATAACTGTTTTAAAGTATCCCAAGAAATTGTGACGTTTTTAAACGATGACATACTTATACAGCAATTGTACGATTTGTCCAAGCAATTCGTGGGTGCCGATTTAGTAATTTTAGATTTAAGTGCATTTCCCGTATTTGGAATTTTAATGGCAAAAAAGGGATGCAAGGTACACTGCTTAATGTATAACGACGCAGATTTAGAATTTCTGAACTATGTTTGTCAAAAAAATTTAATTATTGATAATGTAGACGTATTGTCCGACGATGCCTATAACTCACTTTTAAGTATGGCGAACATTTACGATATTATTTATATTGACGCTGTTGGTCCAAACGGAATTCTCAATGATAAAATTTTGGGAAAATATTCCGAATTTAAAAGATTACTGAAACATAGCGGGACAATTTTACCAAACGAGATTGTTCTAAATTTGCAAATCGTTAATTCTAATTATTTAGACAAATGTTGGAAGGTAGACGACGCAAATTCCTTTGGATTTAAAATAGCAGAACAAATCAACGAATATGCGGTAATATTCTAACGTTAATTGTTTTATATTTAAGTCTGATTATGTCTTATCTACTTAAAGGTAGCAGAGCTTTGGGAGCTTGACTATAAAAGTACTCCACATGAAATATTATCGGAAAGCATTGCTTTATGGAATATTATTCAAGATGAAAGTGAAAAAGAAAACACAATTGAAATCATAGTTAATAAAAATGGCGTTGCACACGGAGTTTTATACTGGTTTGAAATTAATTTAAACAATTCGCAACCATTCGACACAAGGAGAAGTACTTATTACAAAATAGCTAGTTTTTTATTTACATCACCAAAATATGTTACCCAGGACTGTATTTTAAGATTACAAACGAAACAACACAGAGGATTATTAAAAATTGATTGTGTAAAGTAATATAATAAAAATAAAAATAATAAGTAAATAATACATTGCTTTCATTTTACAATTATTAAGTGGGTCTTAACAGTGAGCACATAATGAATTATTCACTCATTACCATTTTTTACTTATATTTGATAATATAATCCTGAATTTATGATGTTGTCAATAAAATACATTAATAAAAAAGTAAAAAATAAATCAATAAAGCCTTTACCAATTTAATACTGCAGATAATTGTAACTAACATTTAACATTCTTTTAAAGCTTGCATAATCTAAAGGGCAACAGTTATATATCTATACATCACAACAAATTACGTAGATACGTACTTCTATAACTTACTACTTTCGTTAATTATCAAAAAATCTGTAATTAACTTAGATACTTCTTTAGGCTTAGTAACATGACAGTCATGATTTCCTTCAATTTCCTTGAACGTAAACATTTTATTTTTCTTCATTTCCCCTAAAATTGTGTTTAAAAACCGTTCCGAGTAAATATGCGGAAGTATAGATTCGGAAGATAGTATTATAAGAACTGGGCATCTCATAGGATATACTTTTAATAACTTTATAACAATTTCCTCCGTCATAAAAGTTTTCATTATACTTTTTAAACGAGGGTCTGTAGAAATTTTAAATTGATCTTCGCCAATTTGAATTAATGACCTCTGCAACACAGTATTACAAACATCAATGGGAAGTTGGCTAGTCCTTCGATTAACAGTTGCTTTATTCAAAATTTCGTTTAAAGTATAAACAGGTGGCTGTTTTTGAAAATTATTTAGGTCAATAATTTTTTCAAACACGGGCCTTATCTCATCAATTTGTAAACTGCTGAAGTACAGCACATCAATTAGTACAAGTTTTACGACATACTCGGGGTACAAGTGTGAAAATAATAAACTAATTTGCCCCCCAAAGCTGTGTCCAATGATAGTGTATCTACTCCTGCTTAAATAGTCCAAAACTATTTTGAAAACGTATACATAATCCATGACGTGAATAGGCAAAAAAGGGGGAAAGTGACTGGACATACCATGCCCAGGTAGATCAATGCAAATATAGTAGAAACATTTTGGCAGATGTGGAATTAGATAATCAAAAAAACCGGCATTATCCTGTATACCATGGGCAACCAAAACAGGTTCGTTTTCTTTATCTCCCCAAGTTTTTACTACAATAAAAAATAAATACTAATAAGTTATTGAAAGTATTCAAACCAATCTAAAAACTATTTTTTACTTGCATGAATATTAGATACAATAATATAAAAAGTGTAAAGCTAGTTTATTTCTTCTACTTCAATTTTTGAAAATATAAAAAATGTTATATCCAAGTGCAGGTATTATATCGCCATCTAGTGGGTGTTTACTGCAAATGAATAAATTTCTGAACTTGAAATAAACGTTCTTATTAAAAATGTTACTTTTGCTGAAATTATTTTCTGAACATAAAAGTATCAAATATTTATTATCAGAAAAAATTGTATATCTATGATATCTACAAAAATATTGTCTATTACCTACAACGTGCCCCCATGGTACAGGAATATTCAGTTCATCAATTTCCATTGTAATTCAACCGTATACAAATCTGTTTGCTTTATATAAAAACAGTGTAAAACTATTATTTAACGTTAAACGCAATTTAATTAGAACCTTAATCATAAAATTTACAATTACAATTCATAGTGATGACGTTTATGCACTTTGTACATAACCGACAAAAAGATAATCGACGGCCTTTTATCTCCCTATACTTATGTAAAAACTGTGTAGTATCTTCTACATTCATCATAAATGAGTGGTACCTACACGAATTTGCTTTAAATGCTTTGCGATTACAGTATATTACAACTGCATTTTTATATCATCAATTTCGTTTTGAATCTTCTTCTATGACTCTACCTTTCTGTCTGAAATCTACTATAATTATTAATGAAGAGTAATCTAGCGCCATATGATAGAAGCTTTGTAAAATAGATAAGAGGAAACCGATTCACAACCAGCCAGAATATACAGGATGATCACTTAAGAGAGTAATCAGTTAATAATCTTTAAAAAATGAATCAAATAATAAGAAATTAATTTGGGTATACACTTTTCAAGGAGTTCCTAACAAAACAAAATCATCGTCTCACTTTCATAAGTTATCCAAAAATTATTAGCCTTATTTCCAACTTATTTAGTTTCCTAAATATACCAGATTTATCATGAACTTGCGTAATAATATCTGTTGTAAAACTACATTATAAGACCAATAAAATATAAAGTGTACTATTAGAAGAAAGTACCTTAAAACCTTGATTACAGAAAATCAAATCAATTAATCGACAATTGTCTTTCCAGTTGCTCTAACATATTATTCTAAAAGAAAAACTGCATTTTCCTCTATACAGAAAGCAACTTTACCTAAACTTTAAGGTAATCCTAACTACAAATAAGTGCAAATAATGTAACAATAACAAACCTTAAACTTTTCGAATGAACGAAACCCTTTCTCCACAAGATGTACGTGTAATGAATTCCTAAGCACGATAAGTTCGTCTAATTGATCCAGCTGCTAATTAGGCTGCTCTATACATCCCATTCTCTGAAATAAGGAAACAATATGTGAGAAGAAATATTTGTAATATCTGTAGCGTAAGTGACTTCCCTACTTTCCCTCTCCCGACTACTCGTAAGTACAAATAATAATTCTTCTCGTAATCCGTTTAAGAGGACACTCACTCATTAAAGCACTCGCGCTGAGAACGCACCGCACAACTCATTGCAAACTGCATGAGGTCGCAATCACACACTAACCACAAACACTTTCCCTGCAGCAAATGTCGGCGTTATCCACAAGGGTGTATGGGTGAACTGATGAGTAGTGAAGAGAAGTCGTCCAATTAACCTTGTTGCTAAGGAAATCTGCAGCAGCATCTCATTTTCTGTAACAAGGAAACAACATATGAGAAGAAATATTTGTAATATCTGTAGCGTAAGTGACTTCCCTACTTTCCCTCTCTCGACTACTCGTAGGTACAAATAATAATTCTTCTCGTAATCCGATTAAGAGAACACTCACTCATTAAAGCACTCGCGCTAAGAACGCACCGCACAACTCATTGCAAACTGCATGAGGTCGCAATCACACACACTAACCACAAACACTTTCCCTGAAGCAAATGTTGGCGTAATCCAAAAGGGTGTATGGGTGAACTGATGAGTAGTGAAGAGAAGTCGTCCAATTAACCTTGTTGCTAAGGAAATCTGCAGCAGCATCTCATTTTCTGTAACAAGGAAACAACATATGAGAAGAAATATTTGTAATATCTGTAGCGTAAGNACGTGAAAACAGCGATGGAAGTTACATGGACGATGATAATTCCCATACTGTTTACATGGTGACAACTGCTACTCAAACTATACTGCCTTGTTCGACCAGGAAAATCAAACCAGTGAAACATCCTGGTCTTGTTCTTAAAACACCAATAGCATATCAAAGCAATACTGATCCTTCAGTGATACCTATTCAAAAGGATGGAATTGGTAAGTATAAAATCATTGCTATTGACTGTTTCAAAAATTGTATTTCTTTCACAAAAACAATGAAAACATTACAAAGTCTGTAAAGATTACTAAAATGTTTGTCATGTTTCTGGAAGTGATATAGTTGCCTTAAATACTACTTTGTTTTATTTGTATAAAAAAAAATAAAATAATGAAATATTGCAGCCGTTTGTGAAAAATGTGGTGCCATCGGCGTGAAACACGCTTTCTATACAAGGGAACGTCGTTTCTGTAGCATGGCATGCGCCCGTGGCTACAGCGGTCTCATTCCCGAACCTCTACCTCAAACGAACCAAACCACCCCTGACACCAAACACTACGCCGAACATCGCTTTAAAATGGAACTCGAAGAGGACTTGACTGGTTTTGTGGCAGACCAGCAACTACCACAACTACCTCCCCCTCCTGCAGCACCTCCTATTGATGATAACGTTTTACTTAGTCGCCGCAAACCTTCCGAACTGGTCAACTCGTACGATTGGGAGCCCCATTTAGATGACGTCAATTTTTTCGCTGCTCCAGTTACATGTTTCAAACACGCTCCTATTTCTGACATTTGGAGTAATATTTTGGTTGGAATGAAAGTCGAAGTGGAGAACACAGACTGCGACAACGTATCTGAAGCATTCCCTGATTCGTTTTGGGTTGCTACAGTTATGAAAATCATAGGTTATAAAGCCCTGTTACGATACGAGGGCTTCGGTATGAACGAATCTAAAGATTTTTGGGTATCATTGTGTTCTAACCAAGTGCACCCAGTCGGGTGGTGCGCTACGCGTGGGAAACCCCTCATACCACCCAAAACAATCGAGAACAAGTACAGTGACTGGAAAGAGTTCCTCTGCAAAAGACTAACAGGTCAGTAAATTATTGTTCATGTATATTGTTTACTAAAATTTACTGTTCTTTTTTTTTAGGTGCTCGCACGTTGCCTTCAAACTTTAGCAATAAAATCAATGACAGCATGAAATCACGTTTTCACCGCGGCCTGAATCTCGAAGTGGTCGACAAAAATCGCATATCGCAGGTTAAAGTTGCCATGGTTCACAAGATAATCGGAAAACGTCTAAATGTGAAATATTACGATTTACCACCAGAAGATGCTGGTTTTTGGTGTCACGAAGACTCGCCCTTATTGCATCCTGTAGGTTGGGCTAAAAAAGTGGGTCATCATCTTGTCGCGCCCGTCGACTATTTAGAAAGGGTTAACGAGGGCATCTTTGACGAAGACGATGCCACCGAAGACCTGTTTAATCCTGTGCAAATTGGGTCTAGAGACAGCTCATTAACTGCCGGATTTTGTATTGGAATGAAGCTGGAAGCAATCGATCCTTTAAATTTGTCTTCTATTTGCGTGGCCACGGTCATGGATGTATTACGGTGCGGCTACATTATGATCAGAATTGACACCTACGAATCTGATGCGACCGGTGCCGATTGGTTCTGTTACCATGTGTCTTCGCCGTGTATATTTCCTATAGGTAAAAAAATAAACTACGTAAAACTGACAGTCCACTTACTATTTTTCTATTATAGGTTTCTGTCAACGTCACAGCATTCCCTTGACGCCGCCAAAAGGCTACGACTCTGCAACGTTCAACTGGAAACGTTATCTGTTGGACACGAGTAATGTACCAGTGAATCCATGCATGTTTGCTCCGCTCAAAACCAATCACGGTTTCGTCGAAGGCATGAAGATGGAAGCTGCCGATCTTATGGATCCTCGTCTCGTCTGTGTCGCTACCGTGGCCAAAGTAGCTGGTCGACTCCTGAAGGTTCACTTTGATGGTTGGGAGGACGAGTATGACCAATGGCTCGACTGTGAAAGCTCGGACATTTATCCGGTTGGCTGGTGCCATAGTGTCGGCCATAAGCTCGAGGGACCCAAAGTGGTTCCAAAGCAACCAAATGCTGTTATTAGGTCACCAAAAGGTAAACAATAAATATAAATTGTCACTTCTTAAATTTGAATAGAAAATCTAAAATAGAAGCGTTGGTTACAGGCTTGAAAAAACGAGGCAGAAAAAAGAAAGGTAAAGACAGTCCTCCAAAAAATCAACAGACAAATAAACTGACCAAGTCTGAGCCTCCTCCTGCTGCTACAATGAAAAACGAAGTCCTCGAAGAAGAAATAGATGATGATAACATCCAAGAGCCGGAAACTGGACAGGAACCTTCCGGACCAGATCAAAGCATGCCTGTGCCTTCAGAACTGCAACCGCCACCAGAACGCAAGGCTACGTCTTACATTAATGTAAGTATTTATAACCTTTTTTTCTAAAATATCGTGACAGTACACGATAAAAGTTTACAATATCGTATTAATTTACAACCTTTTACAATTTTTATTGATAAACCTAATACATATTCGCTATATATAATAGAAGCACTTAAAACTATGGGCAAACCATTATTTTCTTAAATTATAAGTAGATGGGCGTATTTTTTGTTTTATTAGGAAAACGATTTCTTTGTAGACCACTGGCAGTACCAGTCCAAAGGTAATTCCTCGGTTAATAGACAGTTCTGGGACCCCAAATGAAACCAATGGCCTTTGTCCCGAAGAATGGAATGTTTTCGATGTAGCCCCAAATTGGTTACAAAAAAACTAACACCCAGTATAGAAAATTCAGAGCAGGTTAGCCACACTAAACGAACAGTAATATTTTGTTTCTCTTTTGTGCAATTGTCTGCATACTTTCAAAGTTTTAAACGATAATATTTAAAAAAATGTGAAGGTTGCCATTTTTTATTGGACGAAAGTTATAATATTGTTTTAAAGAAGAAAATACAATTAAATTTTTAATTAACCTAGTAGTATTTCAAGTTTTATGTTGGCAATAAAAATTCCATAAATGCCAAACAAAACTGTCCAAAGTTTCGGTTGCACGGTTGTGCTTTGGTGGCTTTGCTTGTAATTTTTAATAAGTAAGCAAAATAAAATTTGATATTTCCCATTTTCTCCGAGCATTAAGTGCTTGGTCTTAAGTGAAAGTGAAAACTAAATATTTTGAAACACAGCTGATGGAATATTTTAAGGAAATAACCCCCACGAAAATAAAAATTTCATGAGGTTTACTTCCATATAACAAAAAGGATGAATGGTATGTTGTTATTTTCTTTGATTACCTTAAAAAGAAATTATATCAAACCCTCAAAAATCGATTTATTATAACGCTTTTATTGTTAAGAACATAATTACTGCAAAAAAAATTATCGCCGATGTAGTAATTAGAAGAAAATAACCTCATTTTAATTGCTACATCTACATTTTTCTATTACAAGTTTTCGTTAATTTGGGTCGAAAATTAGGCCTTACTGGTCCTCTTCCTTCCCTTCAATATTATCTTAATGTTCCTTTTTAGTGTTTAAAGTACATTAAAAGCTATCCCTGTTTATTACTAAATCATTAATGATTCTGTTTGAACATTAATGTTCCATTGGATGGAATCTTATAGTTTTCACTTGTAATAAATTATTTATATTAACCCACTGTAACTTACTTTATTTTGATTTTACAGTGAAAATATCCATCAATGGGGAAATAATAAGACATTACAAACTGTAAATGTATGGTTAATATGATTAATTTGTATTTCAGTAAATGCAGAGATAGCATGTCCAATTTACATCATATCCACATTGGAACAAAACCGATAAACAAATTACAGATTAAACTGAAATAGGTATCTACTATTGTATTCCTAAATTAAGGGGTTTTATTTCAATGCAGATATGGTTGTTAAAAATCACCAAAAATACTTTGTGCTAATAGAAATTCGTTTATACACTTACCCAGAATGAAGTTATATTTTGGCCATGTATTGCAGCTTCTATGGCCACTAAACTAAAGGCAGATTATGTTGGATGATCAGAGGGATTGGGGCAGTAAGGCTTTTGCTTTACGGTACTAGATAAATACCACACTTACTTCATCTTTTTCTAGGAAGAATTGCCTTATATGATTACTTCTTTAGTAACCTGAAGCATTAATTGAAAAAGAAGCGTATTAAAAGGTAGATATATTACAATTTTCAATATAAAATTGGGGGGAACAAAGAACAAACGTTTATTTTNTGAGAAGAAATATTTGTAATATCTGTAGCGTAAGGAACTTCCCTACATTCCCTCTCTCGACTACTCGTAAGTGCAAATAATAATTCTTCTCGTAATCCGTTTAAGAGGGCACTCACTCATTAAAGCACTCGCGCTGAGAACGCACCGCACAACTCATTGCAAACTCCATAAGCTCACAATGTAAAGCACCCACGACATAGTCACTGGAAGTGAGGGGCCGTTTTCCCAGAACTATTTTGTATGTATAGATTACGCTAGTTCAAATTATCATTTTTCTTCTTAATATCTGTTTAAAAGGACACTCACTAATAACCAACAATAAGTGTAGCATTTACGACTTTAATCCAACGAACCTCGCGCTTTTCTAACGAATGCTAGCTCATCGTCAAATTGGCGAACTCGTGCTCAGCCACGTTAATTAAAAATATCTATTACACAGTTAAAGTGCGTATGATCCAAGAAGTGAATTTCATATTTTTGAGGAGACGTTGGTCATTTCATCAGTTTAAATTCAGGAGGCTAAAGAAAATTGGCTCAAAATCGAATCTTCGATCTCTCGAGCGATCATGAGGCTGCATGTAACAACGCTGAGAGGCGCAGTTAATTAATTTCTTTGTTTTTAATATGTGCGATGATATTTCCACTTATGGGCCTATATGCCGTTGTTTTGGGAAATGCCTCTCTCACTAAAGTCGTAGTTAAGGAGGATGCGTAATACAGTTTGAGCCCGTTTAATAAAGCGTAAAGATATTAAACCCAATATTAGTAGTAATACAATTATGAAAAAAATAAGACTTTTTAGTCAATTATACCAGTTTCATCAATAATTATATATATACAAGCTGTCTCACGATGAGCACCCACCCACATTAGAATATTTCGGAAAAATACTTCGATTCGAATTTTGAAAATTTGGACAATAGCGTTATTGAGTATGCTCTCCTCAATTAAAATAATGGCATCTACGTAGCACTTCCGGTTATACCGGAAGTTTACGCCAACTTCACTATATTTTAAATGGAATACCCTGTATATTATGACGGTTGTGAATTCTATTTATATTTGTAGGTGGAGTTTTGTAATGCTTTTCTACTTCTAAAATTGGCGTTTTCGAGATATTTTTTTTAAGTATCACAGAGCAGTAGGTTGCGAAAAAACATGCTTATTTTATAGTATGAAAGCTGGAGCAACAAAATTCTTAGGAAGGTAGCTGTATCCTCAAGCTTCCCTTCCATGCTTTTAAAGTGGGTTAATTACATACATAATATTAGATATTTATCAGCGGATTTGGTTAATTTCAAACAATCGTAAGTCGTTTTTTTCAAATGGAACTTCTTGTATATATTTTCATAGCTTTTTACAGAATTTTATTGTCTTTCGAATGGTACTATGGTTCCCTATACCCATCTCCTTTAGTTTTGAAATTACTGTTGTCTGTAAAATCAACTAAAACTGTTTAATTCTATTTGTTTACGGAAATGGCTGTGAAATTATTAGCAGAACTTCAAAAAAATGATAATATCAGTTACTTATTATCATTCAAACACCCATACTGAGTTTACTCAATAAAACATTGATTCTCAATATCAATTATTGAATATTATTTTTATGAAGAATAGAAAATGAAAATACCTATTCAAATTGGGAAGAATTTTATAAAATCTGCTGCATACGGTAGACTACAGATAATAGTAAAAAATAAATAATTAAAGGTATCAGCTAATAATAATCAAATGTATTAGTTAAATCGTTGGATATGCTCCTGTTTAGTTGTAAGCAACTATTTACCCTTCCGGTAAACTTAGGAGTAACAGCTCGAACCATTGAACTAATATACTTAGTTATTATCAGCTGATATTGTTAATTATTTATTTTATTTGTTTATTTGATTTTTTAACTATTATTATCTGTAGTCTACCATATTGGAACTCATTTTATAAAATTCATCCCAATTTGAATAGGTATTTTCATTTTTTTATTCTTCATAAAAATAATATTCAATAATTGATATTGAGAATCAAAGTTTTAATGACCAAACTCAGTATAGGTGTTTGAGTGATAATAAGTAACTCATATTATTTTTTTTGTTTTGAAGTTCTGCTAATAATTTCACAGCCATTTTCGTAAACAAAAACAATTAAACAGTTTTAGTTGATTTTACAAAGAACAGTAATTTACCATTCGAAAGACAATAAAATTCTGTATAAGGATATGAAAATATATATAGGGTGTTCTATTTTAAAAATCGACTTACGATTGTTTGAAGTTAACCAAATCCGCCAGCTAATATCTAACACCCTTTATGTAATTAACTCACTTTGAAAGTATGGACGGGAAGCTTGAGGGTACAGCTACTATTCCTGAGAATATTGTTGCTCCAGCTTTCATACTATAAAATAAGCATGCTTTTTTGCAACCTACTGCTCTGTGATACTAAAAAAAAAATATCTCGAAAACGCCAATTTTAGAAGTAGAAAAGCATTACAAAACTCCACCTAAAATTATAAATAGAATTCAAAACCGTCATAATATACAGGGTATTCCATTTAAAATAATGAAATTGGTGTCAACTTCCCGTATAACCGGAAGTGCTACATAGATGCCGTTATTTTAATTGAGGAGAGCATACTCAATAACGCTATTGTCCAAATTTTCAAAATTCGAATCGAAGTAGTTTTCCGAAATAATCTAATGGGTGCTCATCGTGAGACACCCTATATATATATATATACATAGATATACATAAAGTATACCCGTTTTATCAGTAATTCACCAGTAATGGCTGGTAAATGCTTTTTGCGGGCATAAATGTTTAAAAACATCTAGCAAACAGTTTCTAACCCAATGATTATGTTTAAGATAATCAAAATTTAGGGCTGTAGTAAGTACTGCTTATTTGTAGATGAGCAGAATTGAGTAGTCTGCTTTAATTAATAAAAGGATCTTATGTAAACATAGTTTTTTATAGGCACTAATGCTTGGAAAAATATTAAATGACATTAATTATAGAAACATACAAAACAATTAAAAATTTTTACCTTTCTACAATAGTAAGAAAGACATTGTTATTATAAATGATAATTGCATTATTCTTCTTAAACTTAGGCTAGTTTCTCCACTATACAGGGTGGACGAAAGTACTAACCGTAGTTACTTTGTTTAAGCATTTTATTTGTTGGTAAGTATACCTACTTATTTATTTGGCATTAATTGTATTTTTAAAATAATAGTAATAATTAATAATCATCATTTTCATATGGATAAATACACTTCGAAAAACCTAAGCCACCTCAAAAATCACATTAAACATTAACTACGAAATTCAAATGTAAATTCTGTTAGAATTAAATACCTACAAACGAATACCAAAAACTGAAAATATCAGATGATTTCAAGTTTGGACAATATCAATAAAACATATAAAAAAGGACAATACACATACAAAAAAGGCAGTACAGATACAAAACCAACGAATGTTGGTAAATAATAATTATTATTCATATCCACAATCGAATATCACCATAAATAAAAGCCCCAAGTAGATAAAATAATTGTTTTAAACAAATCATTTTGATCTGTTTATAAGATCGGCTTTATAACACTTTCTGTGATGTATAGAAAATGCTTCAATAAATCCAATGCTAATCTAAACTTACCTGAAACAAGAGAGAAAAAATATAAAGCATATGATTTATACTAAATTAAAACAATTTGTTTTTTAATTGGAGAAAACAAAAATTTAAAATTACTTTAAGTTACCTTTGGGCCCATTTTAAAGTACTCCATCTTCCTGTAATACTGGTAACCATGTACAAACAGCATCATATCTATTTAATCATATTTCTTGTTTTTACAATATAATAGTTTCAAAAACTTTAACTGTGTTTTCAGTGCTTCTTTCGTGCATCTAAAACGAAAACAATACATCAGAAATATTCAAAAATTTGAGTTTCTTCAAATAATAATTACAAGTTAATTTTGAGTTCCCTTTAAAGGAAATAATGATTTATTGTGACAAAATAGGTAAATATTTGGTCATAAGTCATTTTTGGGACCTCAACTCTTCCCCCCCCCCCTTAAGATAAATTAAGAAAATTGTACACCCCTACCAGAGAATAAAACAACGAACATTTATCCTCTAAGTTAAATTTACAATTTGTCAATATTTGAATTAATCTTATACACCAAAGTTTTTCAACCAACCAATCCTTGTTATCAACCAAAAACCCCTTTTTATCCTAAATATACTTATGGTCCCTGATGATTGAAAAGAACTTGTAGACACTCTGTATATCTTTTTTCAGGGTCGTAGTTAGAACTTCCTCTTTGCGACCTCTATCATTTTGGCCTAGTAAACGTGCAAGAACGTACTGCTTGGAATACAGCGCAACGGCTGGTACAACGCTAGATGTCTCTGAAGTATCCTATAAATTTTTATTTCCGATATCGACATCATCCTTAAGACTACTTACGACATTCTCCATTGATTACTCATCAGACATATGTATGTTTGTGTCGCAAATAGTTTTATGATTTGATAAGTAAGCCGGAAGTTTATCTTTTTTTTATTCGAAAATATGTGCATCGCTTTCAGCAAGTAAATTAACAAACATGGAAATAATTTTAAATATGGTCTGTATACAACGTAATTTGCTTTACTTATCATTACTTATGAAAAAAAAAAAACATTTTTGTAAACCGATAATATAAATTTTGCTTCGCTGCTTTATTCCTACTATCGGTTATAATTTAATCTAATTAGCCTTTCTAAATATATATGAAATTTTAGGTAATTCCAAGTCTACAGCACAAACAACTTGGTACATGGCCCCTAGTGAATTATAATTATTGGTAAGTTATACTTTAAAATTAAAATAATAGTGGTCCATTAATAACAAAAGCTGAACTACTATTTGTTTGTAGGTACTAAAGGTGCATGTTCATGTTTTTTTTTAACATGAACTAATAACTGTAAAAAAAAACATAAAGGCTTCTAGAGTGTGCAGGTATGTTGAAGTTCACCTATTATTTATCATTTTGCATTAGTTTTATTAAATTATTTGATTTGAAATACCGCAATTTGATTGAACAGATACATGTAACTACAAATACTGGAGGAAATACAATTAAACAAATTTTACTTTATTACAGTACCTATTTTCAAACTAAATAATAAAAATTAAAATGATAAACTTAAGAACAAGTTAGCTCTTTTCCACAAATGTATTTAAAAGAGAATAGCAAATTGTTATAATTAAAAATTGTTATTAGTGTCTACATAAAAACAATAAAATAAAGTAATTAGACACATGAAGAAGAAAGTATGTTGTAATAAATATAAACAACAAGGATCAAAAAGGCCCAGTTTATTGGATAAATATAGATGTATTTTATATATTTTTATAAGTAGACTATCTGCCTGATCAAAAATTAGCATTGTGAAGAAAAAATATGATGTAATAATTTTTTGTAGCATGCTAAATTAGGTTGATACATAATTTTAATTAAAATTATGTATTTTTATGAACATTTCATCATATTTTATATAGGGCACATACAAGAACCATTTTTCCTTCTAAGGTGGTTCTTATATCACTGCATAACATAATTAAAAAATATGTTGTTTCTGCTTTGTGCTGTATATGAATCATGAAGTAATATTTGTAGAAAATGTATTATTTTTCAAGAAATCATGTATCATTTTAATTTGGCAAAGTATAAAATAATTCTAACAATATTTTCCTTAGAATACTATTTTGTTATCAGATAAGTCTACTTAAAGAAAATGTTACATCTACATTTTTCTATTACAAGTTTTCGTTAATTTGGGTCGAAAATTAGGCCTTACTGGTCCTCTTCCTTCCCTTCAATATTATCTTAATGTTCCTTTTTAGTGTTTAAAGTACATTAAAAGCTATCCCTGTTTATTACTAAATCATTAATGATTCTGTTTGAACATTAATGTTCCATTGGATGGAATCTTATAGTTTTCACTTGTAATAAATTATTTATATTAACCCACTGTAACTTACTTTATTTTGATTTTACAGTGAAAATATCCATCAATGGGGAAATAATAAGACATTACAAACTGTAAATGTATGGTTAATATGATTAATTTGTATTTCAGTAAATGCAGAGATAGCATGTCCAATTTACATCATATCCACATTGGAACAAAACCGATAAACAAATTACAGATTAAACTGAAATAGGTATCTACTATTGTATTCCTAAATTAAGGGGTTTTATTTCAATGCAGATATGGTTGTTAAAAATCACCAAAAATACTTTGTGCTAATAGAAATTCGTTTATACACTTACCCAGAATGAAGTTATATTTTGGCCATGTATTGCAGCTTCTATGGCCACTAAACTAAAGGCAGATTATGTTGGATGATCAGAGGGATTGGGGCAGTAAGGCTTTTGCTTTACGGTACTAGATAAATACCACACTTACTTCATCTTTTTCTAGGAAGAATTGCCTTATATGATTACTTCTTTAGTAACCTGAAGCATTAATTGAAAAAGAAGCGTATTAAAAGGTAGATATATTACAATTTTCAATATAAAATTGGGGGGAACAAAGAACAAACGTTTATTTTAATTTATACTTAGGACTATATTTATTTATCTCTAAGAATGATTAATTTTGTTAAAAAAATATTGTGCACTAATAAAATCTAATTATTATTAAAGAATAATTGTAAATTCAAATAGGAGGCCATATTCAATTGGACAGATTAACGGAAATTTTTATAGAAAAATGCAAAAAAATAGTTATAAACAAATGAATGCCTTACCTAAAAACGTACAAAAGTTTTGGGTTCAGCATCCTAACAAATAATTATTTTAATCTCGCACTACTTAAATTTAATTAAAAAAACGCCACAACTGTCTTACGTGGAAGCGTCACCCCGCATATGAAATAAAAATTACCCCGTTGCCAATTTTATCACAAAATAAAAAATGTAATTGTCTATTAATTTAATTACTTAATCGTAAATTGTTGCAGTAAAACTAAAAAGGCAGTTGTAGCTTATATGCATTTTTGTCTCAGAATTTAACACTTTCTTCGTTTTTAGTTTTATTGGTCAATGATTTTATACCGGCTTACTAACAATTCTATTGGGATTTGGGGTTTCCTTTATCATAAAGTACAGGTTGTCCCACTTTCAATATACGCAATACGCATAGAAAAAAAAATGACACTTGTTAAATATTTTTCTAAAAAATTTTATAACAGCCAATTCCCTGATTTCCTTGATGTTTATCACAAATGTTAGAAATTCACTTACTTACTTGTCTAATTAGCCAAGTATTGTTTAAAATTCGCGCACTTTATTACATTTGACTAGCGTTAATTAATAACATTTTTTCGTTCCTTCAAAGCTATTTATTACCATTATTATTAGTAACTATTTGAGCAAATTATTAATGATAGTACCTTTTATATTATACTGTATCTAACTTTTAATTTTTTTATAGGACTACAAAAGAACACTGTGTCATACCAAAACAACATGTCGAAGAGGACCAGCATGACAGTTTTATGGTAAAAAAAAAAACGAAATCTAATCACAATTAAATTGAAAACATGTGGTTTTCAAGGAACTAAAACCTAAATTCTTTGTTTAGTAGCTAACAAAAGTTAATAAGGACATCCAACTCCTTAAGATAACAAAACATGCCTTTAAATGAAATGTTTAAAAAAAAATTGAATTCATGAGATAATAGAATCAGCAGGCATTTGTATGTTAAGAAGAAAAAAAGGGAAAACGTGAGTTGACTATTTGCCATTACTTCTCCTTATGAATTAGAATACTCCAGTTACACGTATGTAACTTAATTTAGATAGTTATTAACATTCCTACCTTAAACTTCAGTGCGTAGTAGCTCAGGCTCCTCTTTACGTTTTGCCATATAAATTATGACGCTATTTACAATTTAACTCGTATCAAAAAGGGACAGAGGGGTATTAGTCGGTCAATTGGTAAAAATTCTGACACACACAGGTAACCTACCGAAAAAAAAATATATGGTGTATTTAAAACATTAATGGATCCCCTAAAATTACCATTAAAGTTTTTTTTAAAACTTAAATGAATAACGAAAAAATGCCAACAGCAATACTACTATAACAATAAAATAAACTTTTACCATATATGAAAAAGCTTCTAAAAACATTTCAAACGATGATGATTGACGATGAAATAATTTTACGCAAATTATTTTAGAAGTTGTGAACCGTTAGAAGACGGCCATCGTTAAATTTTTAAATGACGTAAGCAATTGTTGAAAGTTTCAATTTTTGCAATTTTTAAATTAATATTAATTCCTACTAAATAGTAGATTGTTTGCATATTAATTATTAATTACACATAAATCATTTTATAATTTCAAACATATAAAGTTGAATGAAGTTGCTAATTTTCTTAATCTTAAGATTATAACAATTAGTTTGCCCCTCGTCTTTGATCGGCATGTTATAATTTTATTTAATGCATTAATAAGTTATTGCTAACAGCAGAACAATATATATGGATTCCTTACCAAGATAATCATCCTCTGAAATTGTAACAACAAATAGTTTTGTATCACTGCAATTTTTTTTTAATTTTCACATTATTACAAGAAGCTTATCGTGAGAGATGTGATGCTTCTTGCTGCAAAATTAAAGTGGAAGAAGTTGTTGCCAAACTTACACTAGGCGCTTATTCTCATTTCTATGTGTTTTTTACCAAAAGATATATAAATATATGATATAAAGTTCGATAATTGCATACCTATAGATTCAAACTTTCTGGTTCTAGTATTATTTAAATTCAAATTTTTATTATTTATATTATGTTCCACTTCATTTCGATATATTATAAGAAAAGGGTTAATATTTAACCAACTTTTATTTACGATTTGAATTGAATTTAGAAACAATTTTAATTTTNACTTCTCTACACCAGCTTTACTAAAGTATAGTTGACTACTTTAGATAATGATGTTTGTTTATATCATGTATATGTTATTAAAAAAATGAATGTATGATTTATTTCAAATAAAGTATTCCTTCTTCAAGCCTGTATTGTTTACTAGTCGTTAACTTAAATATTATTATGACAACTTAAGTTTGTGTTGAGCAGAACGTATCGTTTATATTTAAATTTTGTTTTAATAGATTTATTTTTTTTTTAAACTATATAATGAAAAATGTAGGTACAATTATTCAAAATTAGACAGCTATTAATCTGTTATAATTATTACTGTAACTACTAGTAAAATTATTGCCTGGAATGGCAAATTGGTTACAAAAAAACTAACACCCAGTATAGAAAATTCAGAGCAGGTTAGCCACACTAAACGAACAGTAATATTTTGTTTCTCTTTTGTGCAATTGTCTGCATACTTTCAAAGTTTTAAACGATAATATTTAAAAAAATGTGAAGGTTGCCATTTTTTATTGGACGAAAGTTATAATATTGTTTTAAAGAAGAAAATACAATTAAATTTTTAATTAACCTAGTAGTATTTCAAGTTTTATGTTGGCAATAAAAATTCCATAAATGCCAAACAAAACTGTCCAAAGTTTCGGTTGCACGGTTGTGCTTTGGTGGCTTTGCTTGTAATTTTTAATAAGTAAGCAAAATAAAATTTGATATTTCCCATTTTCTCCGAGCATTAAGTGCTTGGTCTTAAGTGAAAGTGAAAACTAAATATTTTGAAACACAGCTGATGGAATATTTTAAGGATATAACCCCCACGAAAATAAAAATTTCATGAGGTTTACTTCCATATAACAAAAAGGATGAATGGTATGTTGTTATTTTCTTTGATTACCTTAAAAAGAAATTATATCAAACCCTCAAAAATCGATTTATTATAACGCTTTTATTGTTAAGAACATAATTACTGCAAAAAAAATTATCGCCGATGTAGTAATTAGAAGAAAATAACCTCATTTTAATTGCTACATCTACATTTTTTTAGTATCTTTATCATTTTCAAATTTTGAATGTATATTAATTTTTACTAATTAATCGTTCGTGTTCAGATTCTTTGAAATTTCAAAAATATCAACAGTTCTGTGTTTTCCTTTGATAAAAAAAGAATAATTTGTATTGTAATTATAATTGTTCCTTTTTTTTGTTTTAATGCTTAATTTACGTTGCTCAAAACTGTTATTTTTAGCACCAATTTTGACTTTTAATTATCAATGATAAAAAATGTTTATACATCTCTGTAATTATTTAATTAAACACGCAATTAAGATATTCTAGTTTAAAAGAAAATAAAAATAAATGAAATGAAAATTAAGGATTGTACTATTGCCATTAGTATGAGAGATAGGTATATTAAGTTTTCTTTAAAAAATGAAAGTCTTTTGATAAATAAGTAATCAACTATTAATTATTGTCATGCTAAAATATTTTTGTTGTAAAATCTTTTGTTAACCAACCATATAAATCTTGCAGTGTATACAATGCCTGGAATTACAGAAATGGGAATGGTGTGGATGGGTGCTGGTCAATCAGCTTCAGACATGTCCATGGGATTAATGGCAACTGAAAATAGTGAATTAATGTTAGAACAAGAAAATCCATACTTCACACCATCTCACAATAGTGCATCTAATCATTCCTTAGATGATATTCACGGTGTTCAAGATTCGTCCATGGTACATTTATTTTATTTTAGAAGTTAGGATAATTTGTTAGTACTTTTTTTATTATTAGGCAATGGATAATGTTGACATTCTTCCCTATGGAGAAATGAAACGTGAAAACAGCGATGGAAGTTACATGGACGATGATAATTCCCATACTGTTTACATGGTGACAACTGCTACTCAAACTATACTGCCTTGTTCGACCAGGAAAATCAAACCAGTGAAACATCCTGGTCTTGTTCTTAAAACACCAATAGCATATCAAAGCAATACTGATCCTTCAGTGATACCTATTCAAAAGGATGGAATTGGTAAGTATAAAATCATTGCTATTGACTGTTTCAAAAATTGTATTTCTTTCACAAAAACAATGAAAACATTACAAAGTCTGTAAAGATTACTAAAATGTTTGTCATGTTTCTGGAAGTGATATAGTTGCCTTAAATACTACTTTGTTTTATTTGTATAAAAAAAAATAAAATAATGAAATATTGCAGCCGTTTGTGAAAAATGTGGTGCCATCGGCGTGAAACACGCTTTCTATACAAGGGAACGTCGTTTCTGTAGCATGGCATGCGCCCGTGGCTACAGCGGTCTCATTCCCGAACCTCTACCTCAAACGAACCAAACCACCCCTGACACCAAACACTACGCCGAACATCGCTTTAAAATGGAACTCGAAGAGGACTTGACTGGTTTTGTGGCAGACCAGCAACTACCACAACTACCTCCCCCTCCTGCAGCACCTCCTATTGATGATAACGTTTTACTTAGTCGCCGCAAACCTTCCGAACTGGTCAACTCGTACGATTGGGAGCCCCATTTAGATGACGTCAATTTTTTCGCTGCTCCAGTTACATGTTTCAAACACGCTCCTATTTCTGACATTTGGAGTAATATTTTGGTTGGAATGAAAGTCGAAGTGGAGAACACAGACTGCGACAACGTATCTGAAGCATTCCCTGATTCGTTTTGGGTTGCTACAGTTATGAAAATCATAGGTTATAAAGCCCTGTTACGATACGAGGGCTTCGGTATGAACGAATCTAAAGATTTTTGGGTATCATTGTGTTCTAACCAAGTGCACCCAGTCGGGTGGTGCGCTACGCGTGGGAAACCCCTCATACCACCCAAAACAATCGAGAACAAGTACAGTGACTGGAAAGAGTTCCTCTGCAAAAGACTAACAGGTCAGTAAATTATTGTTCATGTATATTGTTTACTAAAATTTACTGTTCTTTTTTTTTAGGTGCTCGCACGTTGCCTTCAAACTTTAGCAATAAAATCAATGACAGCATGAAATCACGTTTTCACCGCGGCCTGAATCTCGAAGTGGTCGACAAAAATCGCATATCGCAGGTTAAAGTTGCCATGGTTCACAAGATAATCGGAAAACGTCTAAATGTGAAATATTACGATTTACCACCAGAAGATGCTGGTTTTTGGTGTCACGAAGACTCGCCCTTATTGCATCCTGTAGGTTGGGCTAAAAAAGTGGGTCATCATCTTGTCGCGCCCGTCGACTATTTAGAAAGGGTTAACGAGGGCATCTTTGACGAAGACGATGCCACCGAAGACCTGTTTAATCCTGTGCAAATTGGGTCTAGAGACAGCTCATTAACTGCCGGATTTTGTATTGGAATGAAGCTGGAAGCAATCGATCCTTTAAATTTGTCTTCTATTTGCGTGGCCACGGTCATGGATGTATTACGGTGCGGCTACATTATGATCAGAATTGACACCTACGAATCTGATGCGACCGGTGCCGATTGGTTCTGTTACCATGTGTCTTCGCCGTGTATATTTCCTATAGGTAAAAAAATAAACTACGTAAAACTGACAGTCCACTTACTATTTTTCTATTATAGGTTTCTGTCAACGTCACAGCATTCCCTTGACGCCGCCAAAAGGCTACGACTCTGCAACGTTCAACTGGAAACGTTATCTGTTGGACACGAGTAATGTACCAGTGAATCCATGCATGTTTGCTCCGCTCAAAACCAATCACGGTTTCGTCGAAGGCATGAAGATGGAAGCTGCCGATCTTATGGATCCTCGTCTCGTCTGTGTCGCTACCGTGGCCAAAGTAGCTGGTCGACTCCTGAAGGTTCACTTTGATGGTTGGGAGGACGAGTATGACCAATGGCTCGACTGTGAAAGCTCGGACATTTATCCGGTTGGCTGGTGCCATAGTGTCGGCCATAAGCTCGAGGGACCCAAAGTGGTTCCAAAGCAACCAAATGCTGTTATTAGGTCACCAAAAGGTAAACAATAAATATAAATTGTCACTTCTTAAATTTGAATAGAAAATCTAAAATAGAAGCGTTGGTTACAGGCTTGAAAAAACGAGGCAGAAAAAAGAAAGGTAAAGACAGTCCTCCAAAAAATCAACAGACAAATAAACTGACCAAGTCTGAGCCTCCTCCTGCTGCTACAATGAAAAACGAAGTCCTCGAAGAAGAAATAGATGATGATAACATCCAAGAGCCGGAAACTGGACAGGAACCTTCCGGACCAGATCAAAGCATGCCTGTGCCTTCAGAACTGCAACCGCCACCAGAACGCAAGGCTACGTCTTACATTAATGTAAGTATTTATAACCTTTTTTTCTAAAATATCGTGACAGTACACGATAAAAGTTTACAATATCGTATTAATTTACAACCTTTTACAATTGTTATTGATAAACCTAATACATATTCGCTATATATAATAGAAGCACTTAAAACTATGGGCAAACCATTATTTTCTTAAATTATAAGTAGATGGGCGTATTTTTTGTTTTATTAGGAAAACGATTTCTTTGTAGACCACTGGCAGTACCAGTCCAAAGGTAATTCCTCGGTTAATAGACAGTTCTGGGACCCCAAATGAAACCAATGGCCTTTGTCCCGAAGAATGGAATGTTTTCGATGTAGCCCAATTTTTACGGGTCAATGATTGCGCAAACTATTGTGACAACTTTAGTAAACAGGTAAGAATATAGTATATAATAAATACAATTCCAAACTGTTTCAAAATTTTGCTATAAAAAATTGTAAACCGCAGTTTAATTTAATGGTGTATAACAAAACGATTAATAATTAATTTTGCTTTTCTTTTTTTTATAGAAAATTGACGGTAAAATGCTCCTCAACTTGAACAAGGAAGACATAATCGAGTTTACAGGGGGTAAGGTGGGTCCGTCCCTGAAGATCTACGATCTCATTCAGCAACTGAAAATCAAAGTGAATCCGGCGCAGCTGCGTCATATGAAAGCCAACGTGAAAAAGTTTTTATAGTGCCTGATAAGTACATACATATAGATATATATAATTAATTGATTATAAATATTAAATAATGTGGAGAAAAAGGCGCATCATGCATGCTTTGAGGAGTAGTCCGTGCGGACCTTCTTCTAGCTACGTACCTTTGAAGAGACAACAAAGGTAACGCGATCGGATTTTATTTACCGCTAATATAATAATGAATAATACATTTAGTTAATTATTTATATATCTATATAAATATTGAGTTATTTTGCTACACGAACTACCACAACAAACATTACCGCCGTTGCTGGCATAACGATGATAGCTCTCAGTTTATTTTTGGCCCGAAACGAACGAACGGACAAACAGAAAATCAATAATGTAAAATTTTGGATAGTAACTTATGATAATTGATAAGCATGATTAATAAACGACATATTTAAAGGGGCCGTTTATTAATGCCGATATTTTTAGTGAACGTTTCCACTATTTATTTCTAAATTAAATGAGAATTTGTAACGACAAATTGTTTTCTTTTTGTTTGTTTGGAAGAGACTTTTGTAGAATCGAATTTATTTATGTGAACAACTGGCTGGTCGAAATTTCAATATATGTTGTAATACTTTGAAAAATCGGACACTTTATTGCTTACTATTTTATACAATGAAAACTGAAATACATTTAATTAGGGAAAACGCTCTAAAGTGTAATATATTTGTTTTATTAATTTATTGAGACCAGTCAATTACCGATACATTTTTTAATTCCAATTTACTTAGGCTCACATTTGCGAAATTTGAATAAAACAATAATAATACTTGATGATTTGGTAAAATATACGAATTGACTTTTATTTCTTATTATTTTTCAAAATACATATTTCAAAAAAAAAGTGAGATTTTGATGTTTTTATTCGAAATTAAAATGTTTTCTCCTGTTTAAAATCAGTACGTAGTTTTAAAGGTAAGTAAAATTTATGAACCTACAGTTTTTATCAGTAATTCCTAAATTTGTGTGAACAAGTTCCATAAAACTATTAATAGTTCTTAGCTTAACAACCAAACTAATGTTGAATTAATAATAGGTGATTGAATTCGAAAGTAGCTACATAATGACGTTCATCTCATTTTTTAAAAATTAGTTTTTACTTCATCCTATATAGTAAGTAGATAAAGTCTGTTTTTATTAAGGATTACAACAGAAATGGTATGCATTTTTTATACGTTGTTTTATTGCCACAATCGTTTGGATAGGCTCTAATCATAAGTTTTCAATCAGATATCTACAGTGTATTGCCGTTTGAAGTTTGTGTTTTGTTTGAAATCGTCATCATTAAATCATGCACGAAGCTCATTTGTTAAAATATCAATTTTTCTGTTTCATTCGCGTTTTTAATACATAAAATAAAGTACGAATGTACGTATATGTGACAAGAGGTAATGAGTGCTTTATTGTTTGCCTATGTATCAAGTGTTATTTACGGTGCCTACATACACAAGTAATACGTGCATGTATAGGTTACTCATTGCTCTACTATATAACAATGCAACGTACTACGTGTATTTTCTTGAAACGTAAAATCTGAAAACGGGCGTTCATGGAAGTGTAGTTTGGAGGGAAAGGAAATATCAATGCGCAACCGCTTCTTCCGGTTGTAGGACGACGCGCGGGAAGGACGAGAGCGGCAAGTTGGCTTGGTATGCTTATGGGCGGGGCCATATTGCCAGCTGGCAGACGATTGTCGTTCTCTTATGTACAATTCCTCCGCGTCGTAAATAGTACGATATGTAACAGCGTATTATACAATGAAAAAAAATGTATCGAAAAATCGATTTACTAAAACGTATAATGGAAACTAACTACAAAATTATTAGGCGATCGTTGCTTTGATCAGGAGAACGTTCAGTTTTACTTTGCGTATGAATAATTCACAGTGGCGTCTATCCGGCCTCAGCTGTTTCCCCGTTTCCCGCCAAACATTGCTACCAGAAAACCGCTGTGAGGCGTATCGTATGTTCGCCGTCCCGCGCTCCAATTTTAATTTGTGGCTATCGCAACATTTCGAATTGTTATTATTGACTTTTACGTCGACGGATTGTTTTTAGTATTATGTCATCAATTGTTGGTGGCGATAGGATCGTTCAAGAGGGAAATAACAAGGAAACAAGCGAATCGCAAGGCAAAATATCCAGGTAAGCGTCTTAATACATAAATTTTATTGCCACATGTTTTTGACGTTTATTAGTAAATTTACTACGTGTCTACCGGATGCAACCACTCTCTGTTTCGGAATCCAACGTCGAACTTTATTAACACGTTGCGCACCGGGTATTATGCGGTCTTGAATACGCACTTCATCGAAACGATCGGGCGTGAATTCGCCGGCATACTCAGCTGTTAACCGCGCCATGTTGTGGCGTTGCTCGTTTCTGCAACGACAACGCGTTGTCGGCTGATTGCTGCTTGGTTTGTTTTAAAACCAACGACAACCGCGGCATAATAAAAACGGCGAATAGCGTCGATTTTATCTCCTTTGCATATTGTTTCTCTATGTTGTGTACAACGTACAGTATGACTATTCGTAACCGATACAAAAATAACTTGATTTCTACTTGTAACGTTTTATTAATCGGGTAATTGCCTTGCTTGGTGTACTGCCGTGAACTTTAAATGCTTTCTTGGCTAGTAGGCGTACGTATGAAACGAACAACGGTCATATGCGGCATTTAATTTTTAATAACGAATCGACTAAAACTCGTCTACATTCACTACATCGCTAAAATTTTTAAATCTCTTGTTAATTTTTTTTATCGATTATTTTATTATTCCCATGGCTATTTAAATTTAACGTAATGCGTTACATATTGTACATTTTTTTAATTAGTGAAAAGCCGTTAGGGAGGTCATGGTAATGTAAGCTTCTGCGTACGTACATGTATGTACAAATGCACAAATAAATAAATAATTGTAGAATAGACGTAACATGAATTTTAACTAATAATCTAATAGGTAACCAGAAAAGCTTAGAAATAGAAAGAATGTAGGTAATGTTTTTATTTCTCATTATCAGCTGTCTCTCTATAAACGTTTTGGCATGTCTGGAATTTCCATTATTTAATTGATGTTTACGTTGTACCTACCTGTAAAGGTAAGCAACGAGCGAACGGTAAACGGTACTTATAGAGAAATTACTGTTGTTGTAAACGCAAGTATTTTAAGATATGCAGTTTCAAATAATAATATCTGGTCAATTCAAGCCGATTATTTATCTTTAAATTTAAGAAGGTTCTGGAATTATAGGTACTACCTATGTTAAAGAAAATAGTATTGCACAAAAAAACGAAACATCTGCAAAATATAATGCGCACCTAGGAGTTTTTAATAAGTGAAACATTTTACTAATTGAAGTAGGTAAATGAATGAAATATTTGTATCAAAAAGTTCTATTGTATAAAAACGCCCATTCACATCTCGTAGACTGCTTATTAGTAAATAAATGTCGGTCTGAATCATTCTTGCGTAATTGTATTTACAACAAAGGCAGTTTTATATTTCGCTTTTCGGCGAATAATAAAATAATAATTATTGTATCGTGGCTACTTTTAGTAAAATCGGATTGCTTAAAAATGTGTTCGCTATAATCGAATTTCATCTGGTATAGCGTGTAATTATAACTATACAAAGGTGCTTATAATACCGTGAGTCCTCTATAACGAACAAGCTTGTTACTTTTGTCACAACCAACATTCCATTTAGTGTTTTTCTATCTATTTATTTTTGATCATACTTATCGGATTGTTCGCGTTGTTCGTTATAAGCGGAGCAGACTATTTTGTTTATTGTTTGTATTTTTACTGAAATAAACACATAATTAAACATTTTGACCTCACTTCATAAATTTGAAGTGGTAACCCAAGGTGTAAACCAAGGCCTCTTGTATTAGCAGATACATACGTATAGATATACAGAACGTCTTTACACCAGGTGCTCCCGAGGGTATTTTTCGATACAGGTATAAAAGAGGGGTGGACTTTTTACATATACCTATTCAACTTAGCGTTCATTGTGTGTTATATTTAAAGAGAAACAACAATGCAAAAATAGCCTTGAACTTCACCTTGCTTGTTTATACACATATCTGTACGATAAAACAAATTTAATCCGGGTACCTAGATGGGCCTCTCATATTCTACTGGAAATTTGGAAAGTAAAATGCTGAAGTATTTAAAATTGCTGTGGTTTGCGTATGATAACGTGAGGACTATAGAAAAAATCAGAAATTGGTATTATACCTAGCAGTTTTATAATGAATTTATCAAAAAACTGTGACACACTTCCCCTCTTCCTATTTACACTGCTGTAAACTGCTACATATGGAAAAATCTCTTTTGGAATATACATCTATAATTTGTTAGTACAAAAAAATCACTAAACCCCAAAAATTCTCAATAAACATTAAAAACCCACGCGTTGTGACATCCTCACTTAGTCTCTTGGGTGTGGAAACGAATTTTATGTCTTTAAATATGTTCTCTGCGGCATTGTGGGGTTTATTTTACGCAAGGTTGATGAAAATCGTTATTTTTTTTTTAAAATCAAAAATATTTGTTTTTCTAGTAATTCTAATTTTTATTTTTTTATTGATATAAACATGTATCAAAAATCATCGATGACCACATAGAACTATTTTTTTTTATCCCTCGGTAACAGTGTATTTTGTACAAAATTTGATGATCGGTTGAATAGTTAAATGGTAACAAACAAACTTAAATTTGATTTTATTTCAAAAGAAATCTAATTGATTAAAAATCATCTCAACCCTGATTTTACGATTAGTGTTTTCTTTTGTATAAGTTACTGTTTCTAATGAATATCGTAATAAATAATAACGAGTGCGTCAGTTGTTTTCTATTAATAATAGTTATCAAATAGTGGCGCCGTGTTATGTCATACAAATGCACCTGTCATGTTGAGAATGCAAGATAAGATACATGAATAACTTCGCTAGTTGGAATACTCATTAATGTATGGCATGTAGGTACTTAATAATAATGCACGGTTAAAGTTTTACCTACTCGGAAAGTTATAATTAATCTTGGGAGGTATTTCGTTTACCAGTTAACAATATAACAATCATACGTTGTTAAGCTTGTAATTATACGTATTAACAATTAATTCATACTCGTAAACTTAGAGCAATTTTTTATTTTATATAAGATTTATATTCTTCTGCAATGATTATACATTTTTTAATTCAGTTGCATACTTTTAAATTATGTTATTGAGAGATTCACTGCGTTTGAATGCTACCATGAATTTCAAATTTAAAATTTGCAGACGTCTGTACTGCGACAACGTATCTGAAGCATTCCCTGATTCGTTTTGGGTTGCTACAGTTATGAAAATCATAGGTTATAAAGCCCTGTTACGATACGAGGGCTTCGGTATGAACGAATCTAAAGATTTTTGGGTATCATTGTGTTCTAACCAAGTGCACCCAGTCGGGTGGTGCGCTACGCGTGGGAAACCCCTCATACCACCCAAAACAATCGAGAACAAGTACAGTGACTGGAAAGAGTTCCTCTGCAAAAGACTAACAGGTCAGTAAATTATTGTTCATGTATATTGTTTACTAAAATTTACTGTTCTTTTTTTTTAGGTGCTCGCACGTTGCCTTCAAACTTTAGCAATAAAATCAATGACAGCATGAAATCACGTTTTCACCGCGGCCTGAATCTCGAAGTGGTCGACAAAAATCGCATATCGCAGGTTAAAGTTGCCATGGTTCACAAGATAATCGGAAAACGTCTAAATGTGAAATATTACGATTTACCACCAGAAGATGCTGGTTTTTGGTGTCACGAAGACTCGCCCTTATTGCATCCTGTAGGTTGGGCTAAAAAAGTGGGTCATCATCTTGTCGCGCCCGTCGACTATTTAGAAAGGGTTAACGAGGGCATCTTTGACGAAGACGATGCCANGCGGCTTCGCCGCTTGACATTTTTATCAATTTGTGAATTAACATTAAAATATGTATAGACACCTGTGAATATGTCGTCGGGATTTTTTTTGGCTCTACAACTTTTGTGTAGAAAAATTACTATTAAGGCAGCGTTCGTAGGATGTTCGATCGTTTTTGCGTCGATTTTTATTACATTGCAAAATTTGTTTCCACGATAAGCCGTTTTGTTTTAACAGAATAACATATAGCCAGTCTGTGTTCACCGTTAAGTCTAATATAAAAGTTGGTGAAGTAATTTTTGAAATCAGATCAGTTTCAGAGATTAGCCATTATATCCAAACTTACAACCCTTAGGTACCTGTTTATAGTATTAGTTAGTCCACATGCAGTTTCTCAATTATGTTATTTAATGTAGAAATCAATTGAATTATTGGCTGGTTAGTTAATGAGATATTAGTATCTTTCACAATGAAGGAACTCATTTCGAACGTAACCTAAGTTAATTGAGTACGATAAAATTTTTATTAATGTTTTAGGGGTCGTCCATAAAATAATTTACTCAGATTTTTGTTTTTTTGGACCCCTCCTTCCCCTTCGACACGCTAAGTAACACTCAGCGACCCCTTAACAAATATTGTGTGAATTTCTGTCATAATGAAAAATTTTAACATTTCCTTCCCTCTCGCCCCTTGTCAAATCTCATCACTCTAAGTATTACCCCTCCCGCCTTATTTGCGAACGTATTTTATGAACAATCCCTTATTAGTTACACGAAAATATTGTGTTCTGCATCTTTACCCCTGTAATGGGTATACAGTTAGGTAATAGAGATAAATATTATTAATTAAGAATCGGAAAAATATTGATTATTTATTTGCGGGTTTGTTTTTCTGATAGAATTAATATCATGATATAAACCGCCGTGTCAATTAAAAGTCTTATATGTGACTGCATATGTCATTGACACAGTTTCTTCGATTACGTAAGAGGTTTAAAATTAATGTGGCTGCGGTTTATGTAAATAATAATAACAACAAATAACAAAGCATATTTACGTTTCCTATAGCACGTACCCTGAGTCCGGTGTCCTGAACATTTTTTTAATGGCAAAACAGCTTACGTACTGTTTGTGCACAGGCATATTTTTTTTTTGTGTTGTACGCTATTGATTTAAAATAGAAAGCAGGGATCAACTATTGCAAAAAACAGTATGGGAAGCTACAATGCCATGATACTTGACGAAAATAGTCGATCTCATTCGTTTGGATCCTATCTGCAACACGTTGCAGTCGCATCGTGATAGCGATTATTTTTTTTTTTTTTGAGGATAAGTTCTAACTCTTCTTCAATACAAAAATAGCCTATGACGATCGCTGACCTCCGTAGGCTATGTTTACAAACATTTTTTTATTTGTGTGCTCCATCAACAGCTGATTTTACACAACATAATCATATGTAGTACTCAATAGTATTATCTGTTGTTTTTCTCTGTTTTTATAGAGAAACAAAACGTTATCGCATGATTGATGCGCTACAAATAGCAAAAATTAACCTCAATACCTAATCTAGTTTTTATTTATTGAACGATAATGGATGTCATGGCACTTGCTCAACTCGAATTTCCATCATCGTCATAATTCTACTATTGCAAATTCATTAAGGAAGTCATCATTGCCGTAACGTCGTTAGTCCCAATTGTTAGACTGGTTGGTCACGCACCTCCACTCTTTCCTATCCTGAGCTAATCTTCGTATTTCCCTAAAACTAGAGCATCCCACATCCTTAACTGTTTGTGAACAGTAATCTGATCTAGGTCTACATCTACTCCTCTTAACTCCTGCTTTCGTTTCTAATATGTCTGTAACTAACCCTTTATGTCTGAGAAGGTGTCCTACCAACCTATTTCGCGTATTTTTTATAGAATTCTATAGTGACTTCTATTCTATTCTTTCTATTACCTCCTCATTTCTAACCGTCTCTAACCACATTTCGAATGCTTCTAACCTTTTCCTTTCCGCCGCGTCCACCGCCCTTGTTTTGCACCCGTACATCGCCGCGCTCCAAACATACACCTTTAACAATCTTTTTCGAATTTCTAAATTAACCATTCGCGAGCATAGAAGTGTTTTATATCTCTACTGCTCCTTCCATCTCCTGAGTTTTCTGATGTCCTAAAGATACCTAAAATCGGCTACTTCGTTTTATACGAGTAATTCAAAAATGAAATCTTAAAACACTTATTTAAGTAATTGGAGATTAAAATGCCTTTGGTGGGAATAAGTAGAGATTAAAACGGGGAAGTATTATACTTATCTTTGATAAAATCGAAAAAGGTAATCCGAATGTAATTTATTTCATTATTATCGTAATTACTGGTTATCAGTAAAGTAGTGGCGCCTGGCTCTACTTATCTTTATCTCAATTGCTCTGTTCTGATTAATCATCGAACAGAAACTTGTGACAGATGGAGTACTTCACCTCCCCCACTCACCCCTGTTCTAGATTCCAGAATCACGTTTGTTTCTCGCTCTACTTGAAAATTATCGCAATTCGCGTTGTTATGTTATGACATATCGCAATTTCAGTAGAAAAATACTTGTCATGTACATCACACGCTATACATATATCCGAGTATGTATTATCTATATTTCCATGTATACGAGGTCGTTCGATTTAAGCATAGAGACAATCAGCTGATCTTTGTAGAAACGCGTACGTCATAGAACGTCAGTCCGGGAGGCGCCAGCGGATGTAAACAGTACGGAGAATACAATTTTGTACAAACTGTTATGCTATTATTACACACTATTAGTAACCCGTACAAAAAACGTGTTGCTAATTTTGTTTTTAACTTTTAGGATTTTGGCAACTAAATTTTATTTTTATAATAATCATTTTTGAAGAGGGGTCATTTAAATATAGATATACAATTTACGAAAACCTTCTTTTCAATCAAACGGAGCGTAAAATTGATTCAAAAAAATTGCGGTTGTTTAATTCGTATTGAAACTAATTAAAAATGAACAGTCTACATGTATAACGTACATTATAATAGCACTAATGTAGTATTAGACATACATACATACAGTACCAAAAGCACCTCGAATCTGTGTAAACTATGCAACCAGATAAACAAAATGTGTTCACAGGGAACGGTCTGGGTGTGCTTTTATTTTTATTGGTTAACCAGACACGTACGATTTTTTAAATTGCGTTTGCATTCTAGAAATTGTAAAGTATTATTGAAAGAAAGTACGCTACGGTTTGCTCTTTTTGGATGTTCGGACCAAGAATTTTTTTTTTTATATTAAAAGTATGTTCAGAGCAAAGTTATTTAGGTTTCATTTACTTATATTAATACATTATAACTAGGGAACGACGTCGCACGTATAAGGTCCGTACCTAGGTTTTTATGGCTGTAAGAACTATTTCCTTTTCTTGCTGTGACCTAACCTTACCCAACTGACTGAAGAAAATTGAAGGTGCGGGCCCTACAATAAACAATTACCAGCTGCTGACAATTACGTTATGTGGGTACGCCCCCTAATCATAACCATCAGCACATTATACCGTATATGGATGTCAACATTGTTGACTTTTTAGTGCAATTTCATGGTATAGTCAATAATTCAATCAAGAAGTTAGTTCTACGCCCATACGTTACATGTGGCCACATACATATATATAATATATAGCGTGTCTGCCGATCATGTGGTGACATTAATGGTTTTTATTTCATTCAAGCGGCACGGCAGGACAAAATGCCTGTACGCTACCATGTCGTGACACACATCATTTGCTTTTCCACGTGCTCGTTTTTTGTGACCACGTACATACTCCATGATAGAAGACAGTTTTAAGGCTTTATTATATTGTAAAAAACAGTTAGGGAACGCGAGGGTCTTCTAGCATGGCTCTGATTTAATTAGGGATGCGACAGGAACACAATAGAAAATGCATTCAAAAAATGAAAAACCCCATCCATTTAAATCAAAGTAAAGCAGGGTAAAGGTCTAGATCAGGCCTTCTTAAACTATGGGTCGCGACCCCAAATGGGGTCGCATAGCAAAATTCTGGGGTCGCGAAAGATTTTAATGTATATTGTTACTTAATAAATAAACCATCAAAAAATATTTGTTTATCCTTTATATTTATATGGGATCGCCAGGAAACTAGCTATCATAAATGGGGTCGTGAATGAAAAAAGTTTAAGAAGCCCTGGTCTAGATGATAATTATTTTCAAGCAGGTGGAAGTGGGGGATCGAAAGAGGGTGGTCACTTGTACAAGACCCGATAACCTAACCTAAACTACCCTATTGATAAAGATATTTAAATAATGTTTTATATAACTTTCTCAATATTTTTATGTATTTTTCATTAGTTTTTATTTACATGCCTAGAAATGTATAAAAATTGGCATATTTATTAACTTTGAACCCCCATAACTTTTTATGGGGGTCAGACTGCCACGAACTTTTTCAGGTACAGTAGTGGGGGATACCTCCTCTTTTGACCCCCCCACTCCACCCCTTTCGGGGGTGGGGGCCATCATCTAGACCTTTACCAAAAGCGGTATTCAAATATATCTTCGTTTGCGTAAATTCAGTGACAGGGTGCGTACTTATAACTGGGTGGGTTTCTTTGTAATATAGAGAAATTGGGAGATAACCGACGCCCAAAAGTGGGCGATCACTTCTTTAAAACACTGTGCATGCATCGGAATTTGAGTTTTATGTTATTAGAATGAATAAACATGTCTATGAATCCGTTATGTAGTATAGTAATATCGAAGTACATTGCATGCAAATACACCCACGTGTTTTAAACCGCCTCCGCTATAAACTTTGTTGTAAATGCACGAGTGGGCACTCAGAGTCATTTACGCACTTCACTCTACTTGCAAATGATTTTAATGTATCGACTTGACTTTTATAATACCACAAATGCTAAATTACTTATTCTTTAATGATTCGTTTCACTTATAAAAGTAATGAATGAGAATAAGAGATAATTTTCCCAGAAAAGGTTTTTAAAGACTTTATTGTATTTCCTATTAATCAATGTGTATTAATTAAATATTTAAAAAAAACGATTCTTCTGTGAGTTTGTATGTTGCCGTAAAACTCGCTATTTATTGAATGGCTTTTGATGCAGTTTTTACTGTTACTTCCGGAGGTTATAAATCATGTTCACCATTGACGATGATGACGAGATTTGTGAAAGTAGTTTTTGTCTTTAATAATAGATAATCTCAATAAGGCTTTCAGTGAAACCTATTCACTGTTTTAATCAAAAGTAGAAGATTGAGTCATAATTAGATTCGGACTCAGGATTGATATCAAAAGTCGATTTCAGTTTTTGTTTTTTAATTGTTCATTGCTATAGTCTGTTGTCATTGTTGCAGTCGTGCTTCTAAAGACGGGGATCCCCCGGTTGCAAACATGGAAGCAGAAAAACGCATCAGACGCGAAATTGCCAACAGCAATGAGCGAAGACGAATGCAAAGCATTAACGCCGGATTCCAATCTCTTCGATCTCTTTTACCTCATCACGAAGGGGAAAAATTGAGCAAGGTAAGTTATTCATGGTTTTCTACGTTCGTTATTTAAGCGACTTCGTCTGCCGAAAAAGAGAGCTCCACAGTCTCTTCAAATCGCTCGTACGAATGAGAATTTTAATTATTTGATATTAAAGTCTGCTAACCTTCTAAAAAATTGACGAAAAACTGACGGGCGGCTGCTGACTGTCAGCTTATGGATAGTGAGAATCACGCTTTAATAGGAATTTCATGATCATTTTTATTAGAGATAAAAAATAAGCTTCTTATAGGAATAAAAGGAAAAAATTGATCAAAATCTACCGTTTTTCTTTGCAGTTAGTTTCTGTTTTGTAGTAATTGTAGGTCTAAATTGTGGTATAATATTGAATTAAAATTAGAGATAATTGAACTGATGTAAAGACGATATATTTATTATCATAAAGTCGTCAGTCCTACGACTGGTTGGACACACGCCTCCACCCTTTCCTATCCTGAGCTAATCTTCGCATTTTCCTAAAACTAGAACAACCCACATCTTTACCTATCCTATATTATTTGAAGTAAACTCTTCCTTGCTAGATGCTAATACCGCTATAGATAGATATATTTATATCGACTAAAAAAATATAAATTGCAATAGAAGATTTATATCAATCATTTCTCTAGAAAATTCCTATGTAAGATTAAATAGTATGTTTTTTAGGTCAATTAACCGTTTTTTTTTTGAAGGTTGAAAGCTAAAAATAACCTCACCTTAGGTGTATTTATAACCGAGATAGAGATACATATGCGTAAATACAAATTAATATTGATAGGTATAAAGTGTTGTGGGCCATACTACTAAAAACTTGAATGAAAAGGCTCAGTAGAAAGTCCGTCAATCTATCTAGGATGTTTTGTGTGGTCTGCTTAAGTCGATGACCTTTTTGCATATGTATTTATATGTGTATGTGTGTGTGTTAACTGCAAATTTGAAAGTTAGTTGTATAGACACAGCTGTTAGGCATTAGAGATAGGCAAATAAAGTGCATGCTATGGCAAAAGCGGGTTTCAAAAGATAAATAGATAAATTTGTTGTGATTTTGACATATGTCCGACTCCACACTTCCTGATGGTTAATGCAAAAGTAGAATGAAATCTGCTGTTCTAAACAAACACCTATGATGACCAAATTGTTGTCCATGATTCCATGTAAAGAAAGTGTAATAACACAAGTTGATGTGTGATTTTTAAATAAATTGTGCGTCTACAAATTATTTATTGGTTCTTCTCGCAATAAATATCCTTTTACTGGATTCTGAATCGAGATCATCCTGTATTATTGTTAATAATAAGGCAAATATCAAAATCTCAGAGGAAGAGTCTGACTCCCTTCTCATTTCCTATTATCTTACCACCTGGATCTAGATTATTCATGTAATAATCTCTTTCAATATTTTCTAAACATATGTTTTTTAAATGTATGCTTTTTAGAATAATTAATACGTAATGTTGCATTTTTACAAACAAAAAGAGATAATGTATTTGTTTCTTTACAATTTAGATAAATATCTTACCTTTTATCATTCTTTTAGAGGTAAAATATCTATTTTTTTTTTACAATTGGCGTGTTTTTTACGATGTCCACACGACTGCAGGTTTTGCCAGCACTTCCACGTGTAAATCATTAAAACAAATACGTGTTTTTCTGGCGTAAAAAAGGATGTTTATTATTGTGTTATTTTTTTGTTTTCGATCGATTTACACAGTAATCTCTTCGATAATTTTTCGCACTACTGCCTAGCCACAAAAGAGGATAATAATAATAATAACATACCTGTCATCCGACCATTTTTGCTATATTCATTTTATAAGTATTTATTTATTCATTTGTAACTTCAACTGTAATATGGTATCTAATACATAACACATTGTTAGGAATCTTTGTCTCNTTTTGTTTTCGATCGATTTACACAGTAATCTCTTCGATAATTTTTCGCACTACTGCCTAAGCACAAAAGAGGATAATAATAATAACATACCTGTCATCCGACCATTTTCGCTATATTCATTTTATAAGTATTTATTTATTTATTTGTAATTTCAACTGTAATGTGGTATCTAATACATAACACATTGTTAGGAAAATTTGTCTCAAACCTATAAAGTAGTTAATCTTATCATCCGCCACATTAATTTATAAAGTGGTTGAAAATGTTTTTTTACCTCACCTACAACTCGGCACGAAACTGTGGGACCCGCCCTTTTAATCCCTTCGAATAAACACGAAAGAATATTTATTATACATATTATAGGTTTAGTAATCAAATCTTAATTTGTTGCTCTCTAGTAGATTAATGATAACGGACTAATTTTGTCTAAAGAACGTTAAAAATACTTTTTATTGGATCTTTCTAATAACACTTAAGCCAGCGCCAGCATTAGCCTTAATGGCGCCCATGGGCAATTTTTTGATAGCGCACCCTTTGTAAAGCCAATGTTGTGGAGAATTGAAAAAGAATATCAATTTATATATTAAACTGACTGTGCCCGTTCAAATTTGGACAGTGAGAACCATTCACTATGATTGTGGCAGGCATTTTCAATAGTTTTGTAATCTAAGCTGTCCAAAATCAAAAATGTAGTGGTTGTAACACCTTTGTCAATCAAAATACCTAGGTTTTTTTCAATTAAAAATTTCTTATTAGAGGAAAGCGCTCTGCTATCAAAATTGGAGTCTAAGCAATTGTTTCATCTTTTATCGTAATTCCAGAATGTTGTACTATCAACTGTCCTAGTTACACCGATTTTGTCTAGAAAGCATCATCGCTAAGTTCGAATATTCTGCCAAAACCCCAAAGTCAAAGTTGAACTTACGTATACATATGTTCGCTTGCATACGATTGAGAATAATTCCGTATAATTTTAACATATGTACGTGTGTTTGTATAGACTGATACTATATTGGTGGCAGACCGGCAGACAGATAGGAATCTAGGTCAGGGTATTTTTGAAACGTTGTCGTGCACGTGAGGGATGAGATCACACAGCTTGAATGACAGCGTATTACAAATCGTAGCGTTGTCAGTGCTCCCAAGTTTTAATATACAGTCGAGCTCGAATATTTTTCTGTTCCCCTGTTATTCCAAAGTCTTTAACTCGAGTTTCTTCGTTTCTCTAATTTGAGATTCGAGTGCGGATGGTTACACTATAAATTGTTTCTTTAATTGGAATTTCTATTAATTTTCTTCAGTCCGTGCGAACTTTGAAGAAAATTAAATCTGTTCTTCTGTCCTTTGCAATATAGCGTCTTCTGTTTAATAACAAAGAAGCCTTTATCCTAAATAATTTGTATCCATATCCAGATCCGAAATTTCGTATTCATAAAATCCCTAGTATGTAGATTGAAAAACGCAAGGGATTAAAAAAAACGATTGTCCACACCTGTAATGGAAATTGACGTGTCGTTATCAAATGGCACAACGGCAGCCATGCAATTTCAACTCATTACGCGTCGCGACGTGTCGTGTATCCCGTAATTTGGCTATGAACGCCAAACGCCGCAGCGCGCCGTCGACGACGAGCGTCGCGTCGGCCGATAGCCTACTGTAACTGAAATTGGTACGAGGTCACATAAACGTTTTGCGACGCCTTAACTGCGAAATAGTCACGGTAGGTTATGTACAGAATGTATCTGCACATTTATCATTGCACGTATGTATGTATGTAGATACCTACTTGAGGTTAACTCATCATTTTTAAGAATAGGTACTTTAAAATATTCTGTTTATAGCAATAAGTAACAATACTACTACCACCTATTACAATTAAATTAATTTCTTTTTCCATTTATTAAATACTTGGTGTGGATTGCTTTTAAATGTTGAACTAAAATGTTTATTTAAGATTTATAGTCAACTAGTGACCCGCCCCAGCTTCCCACGGGTGTAATGCTGATACTAAATATATTTTTGTTTTGTTTAGGTTATTACCGAAAAGGGGAAATCTGCAAAAGATACCCCCTGAACATACTAAATATACTACAGATTGTCTTTATATACAACATTCACAGTTTTTTTTTGTCATTAGACAATACAAACCGGCTTCCCGGCCGGTACCGCCGCAACCGCTATGTCCCTGCATTTTAAGTCTGTAATATCTTCGAAAATATTCATTTAAATTAAATGCTGTAAAGGGCCATATTGATCTATATTAAATGCGCAATGTATTTAAGATAGTTAATTGGATAAGAATTAATGGTGTATTGCCTACAATCGCTTCGTAAATAAGCCATTTTTGCTCATAAAAAGTAAAGGATAAAAATGGTTATTGTGGGTTATCCCTAAGAGATAGACATATACCATCCCGGACTTTTTTGTAGACCCTTTTAAGATGTACAATATTGTAGTACATTATTTTGATCTATCTCGTAGGGTTCAGCCAGCGTTTGCAATGTAAGCGCAAAAAATGTGTTTATTTACGACATCACATTAGAAACCTCTAAAATTATCAGTGTTTTCCTACTATATTATGCGTGTATTATACATATAAACCTTCCTCTTGAATCACTCTATCTATTAAAAAACCGTATCAAAATCCGTTGCGTAGTTTTAAAGATTTAAGCATACATAGGGACAGACAGCGGGAAAGCGACTTTGTTTTATACTATGTAGTGATTTAGTTATAAGATTACATTTCTTAAATTCCATATTGTAAAGAGAACAGAGCAGTGGCGATTTTTTTCTCCATCTTGAACGCCTTTTAGCGATTCGTTCCATTAACGCTGTTACAGATTTTGGTTATTTTAAAGCTTCAGAACCAAGGAACTAAATCAGTTCTTGAAATCTGACCGGCTAATGCTGTAATTGTGTACGAATTATAATCGTGAACGTAAACTCATCGGCATTTGACCGCCGGTGCCGCCCATAATTTTTTGCAGATGTCTATTTACAGATCAGACTAATAAAAGAGAATCAAAACGGTTGTCTATTAATGTGTAGTCGGGGCCATTGTATATTTACAACATCGTTCTATTGCCAATCGTCTTCGTGTCAT